CGTTACCGTTACCTTACCTTACCTTCTTCGTTTACTTTACGTTACTTACGTTACTTACGTTACGTTTACGTTTACGTTTACGTTACGGTACGTACGTCGTCTCTCTCTCTCTCTCTCTCTCTCTCTCTCTCTCTCTCTCTCTCTCTCTCTTCTCTCTCTCTCTCTATATATATATATATATATATATATATATATATATATATTTTTTCAAGGTATTTTTAGTGATTCCAACATGGGTTTTTTTGTACAGGTGCATGTATTGCCCAGAGAGATGTTTGGGCTGTCGACATTTGGGGTGGCAATGGGGTTGTTGAAGTGGCTTCCATTAAGGATGGTGGACAAGTTCTTGTTAATGGCTTCACATGTAATACTGGGGAGCACAGAGAAACAGGGGTTGAAAAGGCCTGAAATGGGACCTATAGAGCTCAAGAACACTACAGGAAAGACCCCTGTTTTAGATGTGGGGGCCCTTGCAAAAATCAAAAGTGGAAAGATCAAGGTAAGCACTAAACAAACTTAGAAACCCCAACTTGACTTTCAAAAAGAAAGGAAAAAAAGGAGGAGAGAGAAAACAATGGACTCTCTCCATCGACTCCTCCACTTGCTTTTTGTATGTGTTTCTCTCTCTATCTTTTTACGGTTCATCAGTTCATAGAACCTCTGTAACAAACTATTGTTTCTCTTTCCTTCTTACTCTCAGATTGTTCCTGCCGTGAAGTCTCTGACATTGAATGGGGCCAAATTTGTGAATGGGCAAGAAGAGGCTTTTGATTCAGTGATTTTAGCTACAGGTTACAAAAGCAACGTCCCTTCTTGGCTAAAGGTTTTCATCTGCAACTTATAATTTCTCTGTGTATTTAACTCTCTCTGTCTCTCTCTCTCTCTCTCTCTCTCTCTGACTATAGTGAGTTGTTTATGAACATTTAAATTTGGGCGGTTTGCCCCACTTTCTCTCTCTAAATAACCTGTTAATAGTTTGGTTGTTTTGTTGAATAGGAGAGAGAATTATTTGGGGAAGAAGGGTTACCAAGAAAGTCATTTCCCAATGGTTGGAAAGGGGAGAAGGGTTTGTACAGTGTGGGTTTCACGAGGAGAGGATTACTTGGTGTGGGGTCGGATGCAAGAAATGTGGCTCAGGACATAGGGGCACAATGGAGAAATCTTGGAGAGAGGCCGCACCACCATAAACATTTCATCCTATATACAAAACCCGGCTAAATTAGAGAGAGTAAGGGGGTCGTTTTATTTTATGGAGAAGAAAGGAAAAGCTCTATGCGGACTCATACTCATTTTGTTGGTTGATTGGTTGGTTGGTTGGTTGGTTTGTTTGTTTTTGGGCCTGTTTGGTATACACAGTATGAAGATCTTGTGTTTTGTACATGAACCATTTTTGCATGAGATCTTCTCTATGCATACATACATAAAATGGACACTTCTTGTACATCTCTCTCTCTTTCTCTCTCTCTCGCAATAAGCTTTCTCTCTCTCTCTGTTTCTCATCTCAATAAGCTTTCTCTCTCTCTCTGTTTCTCATCTCAATAAGCTTTCTCTCTCTCTCTGTTTCTCATCTCAATAAGCTTTCTCTCTCTCTCTCTGTTTCTCATCTCAATAAGCTCTCTCTCTCTCTGTTTCTCATCTCAATAAGCTCTCTCTCTCTCTGTTTCTCATCTCAATAAGCTTTCTCTCTCTCTCCGTTTCTCATCTCAATAAGCTCTCTCTCTCTCTGTTTCTCATCTCAATAAGCTCTCTCTCTCTCTGTTTCTCATCTCAATAAGCTCTCTCTCTCTCTGTTTCTCATCTCAATAAGCTCTCTCTCTCTCTGTTTCTCATCTCAATAAGCTTTCTCTCTCTCTCCGTTTCTCATCTCAATAAGCTCTCTCTCTCTCTGTTTCTCATCTCAATAAGTTCTCTCTCTCTCTGTTTCTCATCTCAATAAGCTCTCTCTCTCTCTCTGTTTCTCATCTCAATAAGCTTTCTCTCTCTCACACACACACACAATAAGCTTTATCTCTCTCTCTGTTTCTCATGTCAATAAGCTCTGTCTCTTTTATTTTTTTGCCTCCACTTTTTCATGACATTTTCCCCTCTACTGGAGACGTATTTACTCTTTGTCTTCAAGGCAAGAATGGGTAAGGCTCAGATCCCCAGTGCTCCGAAATTTCGGTTGTGGTTTTCGTTTCCACTTAGTTCCAATAGAGTACGGCATTCCTGCAGAGTAGCCCAAAGGCCAAAACTCTGTCCACTCAAATGGCCCAAGACCTCTGGATAAAAATTCCAGTAAAAATCCAGCACTTAAACAGTAAAATATAGAAAGGGGTTTTGTGTAAATTTCACTTAGCAAATACCCAAAATGTTGATAGAAATGTTTTCTAAATTTTTCTTAAAAATTCCTTAATTTTGAAATAGAAAGCCTGCCAAACTCGTATACATGGCCATAATTTTGCCGAGATCTTATCAAATTGAGCTGAATTTGGTCAAAGGATGTAGTTTCTATAAGACCGAGGCTTTATGAAAATAAAATAAAGCAGCATTTAAATCTTCGTCCGAAAAGCATTAGACATCAAGAACCTCTATAGTGGCTTTAAAAATCCCCGTTCGAAAAGTATTAGACATCAAAAATCTCCATGGTGGCTAAAATCAGTTTCTTACACCAATTATAAAATTTGATGCACAAAAAATATACATATCTTATTCTTAGGGTGAAATAAACGATTTACGTAATGTGTACCGAGCATAAGATCCTATTTTTTGTCACAACCATAATGGTCAAAGCCAATATTAATTTACATAATGTGTACCACAACCATAATGGTCAAAACCAATATTAATTTACATAATGTGTACCACAACGATAATGGTCAAAACCAATATTAATTTACATAATGTGTACCGGGCATAAGATCTTAATTTTTGTCACAACCCTAATGGTCAAAGCCTTAGAACTACAACCAATTACGTTTTGTTTATTATTATAGGGCTGGGCCAATCAAAACATTTTCCTTGAGAAAATGCGCTAAAATCAGCTGCCTATTACTTGGAAGTGGAAACTTCCCATGTTGAGGCCAGGATGGAGATTTTCGTTCCATGGCTATAATGCATGGATCTTGCATAATTTAACAGGTCAACTCATTATTTAATAAACGATGACGAGTGCCGATCGGATCTCTTCGATTAGACTAAATTGCCCCCTCATAAATTTTGGTGCGGTTTGTATATTGCTGACGCTCTAAACAGAGCAAAGCGCACCTTCAAATAGTGTGGGAAATATGGTTTTAATACTGAAAATCTTGATGACGGTTTTAAAATATATTTTTATTTTTAACTATAAAATTTAAAATTTTTTATAAATAATATAGATCGAATAAATCTATGAAAATTTAAATATCAGTCCAAAAATACATTATAAGATGAATTATTTTTAAAACTTGAAATCTATTTTTTTTTCATGTTCATACATCTTGGAGTTGAGATGATCAATTGGAGCATATTTGAACATAAAAAAACCTCTTCTGATAAAATATTTGAGACTCGTCTTAATTTGATAGGTCAAAACCTTGCACTTATATTAACTTTTTCCATAAAAAAAAATTTTCTAAATTTGCTAGGTTATTAATTTGTTGGAGAAGAGTGGATAAACATGTTAATCGTAATTAAACGCCCATTAATCAAAGCTGGATTATTGTTTGAGACAGGGAGTTTAGGGGCATTTTTTTTTGTTCGTTTTTTTTTAATCCGTTAAGTGAAATAGAGCATGTTATGTTACGTTCGTTGGGCACCTGCCCCGTAACCACGAATGCCCCTGTTGGCCCTACGGACCGGTTTCGTAGTATTCCGCATGCATGACGTAATCGTTATCTGTGATGTTACAACCTGAATGAGAAAATGACGGATTCTATGAGTCAGCCAACTCATTTGTGCATATGCGGGTGCCACTTAAATCTATTTTAAAAATAGATTTTTAACCTAAATTTTTTAGGATTATTGATCTTGATTAAGATGATTATGAATATGAGAATAAAATAAATTTTTTCATATTTAAAATGTGATTTTTTATAAAAAAATTAATATTTAAAATGTGATTTTTTTATAAACTTTTTTATGTCTAAATTCATTTTAGCCCCCTGTGAGTTTTTTTTTTTAAACATCCATCTTAGAGATGGACGATAATGAGTCAGTTGGTTCTTGCTCTCGATTACTCGTGAATGACTTTTTCATAAGAAACAAGTTTATCAAGGTGTCATCTTATGCATTGTATAAGGTGCACTTTAAAATCTCACTCCTAATTGATAATTTCGACCTTGGAGTTGTAAGGATACAGATGAAAAGAATTTCAATTTTTAAAAATAGTGCATCTTGTTGTACATTATGTAGACTATTCACTCACCCAAAAAAAAACTCTCGACTATTGATCTTAAAGATTTTGAGGTATTCATAAATCAACTCGATTTGCACAATTTTTAGAGCAAGATGAAAATAGATTTTCAAGTCTCAAGGATTTTCAACACTAGATCTACATCTTTTGGCGAGGTTTGAAAGTAAGCCTTACTTTGATTATTTAAGATTGATACCATACATAAATTGCATCTTATAAGCAACATTTCACAAAAGGGGAACCCAACATAAACCTAAAACGAATGGTTTTGTAAGGTGCTTATTTTAAACAATTTAAGTAAAGCACACTATCAAATTACGTCGAAAGACACAAATTTATAAATATTTGAAAATCTTAAAAATAAACGGTCTAGATAATATATTATATGATGTAATTACATTTACCAATTGAAATCTTTATTTTCATATTCATAATTTTTGAGGTCGAGATGGTCAATTGAAATATTTTTAAGATAATATCAACTATTTCTAATGTATTTTTAGTGTTCATTACTTGATTCGAATATTATATTAATTTTAAAAAGGGTAACAAAATCCGAAGTTGAAAATAAATCAGCTTTTTTGTACTCCATCTAAAACTACATAAAAAACAAATATTCTTTATCGTCCTTGCACCTCCGTGCATGAGAGACAACCCCACATATGCATTGGGCTGACAGGTAAACGTCATGCAATCCGTGGGCTTTCCAAAAGTAAACAAAACCCTAGAGAGAGAAAGAGAGAGGGCGTGGAACTTGCCAGCCCTTTTTGAGAGATGATGTCAAATGCCAACAAATGGGATGGAAAGAATATCAATCGTATTTCGATCTTTTCCTTTATATTAAAATTCGATAATACCTTTTTGTATTAAGAAAGCAACTCCGCACTTTTCTTCTTCACATATATCGAGGGAAATAACGGCACCCCATAGCCCCCATTTCTCCCTTTCAACTTTTTGGGGCCTCTCCCGTTCTTTCATTCAATTTTCCTTTGTATTCAAAGGATTTACAGTTCCACATATTCACAAGCGACCTTCAACGCATATCCCGATTAGAACTAACCGATCTAGATTGGAAATCCTCGCGTGTGAACCAGTTCTTGTGAAATATATAGGAAACCAGCCACTTTTTTTTTTTCAATATTTTGTTTTTAATAGACCAGTTTGGGAAACCCAATTGTCAATCTGGATCGCCAATCCTCTACACCATATTAAAAATTAGAATGCCCAATTCCAGTCATCAATCTATTTTTTAAAACCTTGTTTATAGGAATTTTACAATTTCGCATTGAAATTTTCTTGAATCAAGATTTGTAGATGGGGTTGGGTCATGGTGGTAGCACCACCTATGCCCCAACTAAAGTCTAGGTCTTCATTCTCCCCTAACCGTATACCTTGCAAAAAAAATACTTCTATCAGATTTTGCAATTCTCAACACATATAGTATGATCCTACCGGAGCATAGTGTACATCTACCCTTTTAGTCACAAAACCGACTTGGGAGGAGGTTTTCAATATGAGCTTCTAGTAACCCCTTAAAAATGATTATATTATTATTCTAAAAAATTAAAATTAAAATTTTGAGTATCTTGATACTTAGATCTCACCCTCTAAAAACTCGACGGTCTCTATTTACTTTACTTTTTTCAAGTGCATAGAAGATGCAATTAGGATTTTGTTTTTCTTGATGTCAATATAGCGATTGAAAAGGTTATATCCTCAAAATTTGGGGTCCTAAATTAACCAATGATGAGTTTTACTTGAGGAAGTAAATGGATAGTATACTCCTATGGGAGTATAATGTCTTTCTGCATTTTGTTTCAATATTTGGCTTATGTTTCGAGAGCCTACAATATCCTGCCGTGGGAAGCATAGTGTACAACAATTCGGTCTACCTAAATAGATGTTTGAATCTGGTTTGCCAATCCG